GTAGAGTATCTAATCTAAATGTCAACATCTATATATTCTACAAGATGCTAGAAATTATGAAGTCCAAAATCAAAATCAATTAAATGTTGCTTTTCTATGTTAGATTGTTTAGTGAATTGTAACTTAATTTATTTAAGTGTGAGGTGAAGCCATTATTATGAAGTAGATTCATTAATGTTCACAAATATCCATAGACTTGAATGCAACATGTAACTTTTTTATTGCTATATATGGAGTCAAATGTTTCTCAAAATGCAGTATTTAGATTTAACACATAGAAAAATTTTACTCTTTTTATTTCAAACATGATTAATTCTAATAAAGTACATATTTTATCATCATTTACTCTTAATAGATAAAAAAAATTCAGAATCTTTCTCATATAAAAAATGTGCTAATATTTTGCAATAATATTTTGCTCATATTTATCAAGGTGCACACAAAGTCATTAAAATCTTAATTTTTGAAAATTAATAATTTTTATTTAAATATGATAATGATTTGTTATAAAAAAAATATTATTATCGATGATACAATTGATATGAAAATGCAAACTTAAAAGATAAATTTATTTCTTCTTTGTTTAAATAAAGTACAAAAGTTGTATTATTGAAATTATTAATGTTTTCAAAATTAGATATATTTTTCTCATTTTAGAAAATAGCTGTATCGAGCAGGTTTTTATCTTCATATTTAAAAAATGGTAAAGACCATATATTTTAAACTTTAATTGAAAAAAACCTATATAATTTTTCATGATAATTTTTCATTAAGTCGATCATCTTTAAAAGATTTCCATCATATTACATTTTTTTCTTTTAAAATAATTTTTTGAAATAATTTTTTTTTCATCTTTTATTTTATTTGAAACATTCATAGTGTGAAATTGACATAATGCTTGAAAATTTCAATGATGTACAAACAGTATCATGTTTTTTTTTTAAGGATATTTGTGAAAAAATGTAACATGTTGTTATAGATAATAAAATTGTCATATGACAATGAAAATCTATTACAAAAATTTTTTAAAATAGATTTTTCCATAAGTGAGGCTGTTTTCATTATTTAGCTCAAAAGAATGAAAAATTAAAAAAGTTCTAAAATTTATCAATGTAATCTAGTGACTTGATTTTTTTTTTCCATGAAACTCAAAAGGTTTTACACACAATTGCGTGTAGATATCATTTGGCTAGTTTTTCACATGATATTTCTATTGAAATTCATCAAAAATAAGTTAATGAATGAAAATAATATAAATTTTTTATTCATGCAATTACTTAATGACATTTCATTGTAGAGACTAAAATACGTTGTTAAAATATATCACAATAATCATCCACTACAAATCAACATTTGGTTTAATGAATTATTCAAAATCATTAAATTTGAAGATGTCTTTTAGTTGAAGTTTTAGTATATAAAAATAAGACTTTAATAGATGTGTATAAAATATACTAATGTATAATTTAAATGTAAAACTATGTCAATGTCAATGTCACGTAAAATAAAATTTACAAAAAACATAGAATAATATATTTATTATTTTGTATCTTTACTTCTAAAGTTTTATATACTTTGCTTAGCAACAAATTGAAACAAAATTAAGTCAAATTATTATATTTATCAGAAGTAAACTATTCTAAAGTAATATTTTGAGCAGTGAAAAGAGACATAATCTATGACATTAGTCAATCAATCATGTTGTTATTATATGCATCAAATATGCTTGAGACTGAAATTGAAATTTAAAAACTTAAAAAATATAAATATATTAACATGTGATATTCTTTACATAAACTCTTGACAATCACATCACTGAATTTTTTTTTCCAAAAATTGAACAAGCATAAATTTCTCTTTATTTCAAAAATCAAACATTAGACACTACTTCAAAATAAGTATATAAAAAATGTATCATAAATACAGTATTATTTTAAACTTGAAAAATATTGTCTGAATAACCAATTTGCTGCACAATATGTTGTAAATATTTGAACAAGATTAAAACGTATGTGGAGGAAAATAAAGAAAATTGACAATGAATCATGAAATTTGGATCAAAAAAATTAACATCTGTGAAGTTGAAAACTAACCTCATTTTTTTCCTAGTTGCACAACAACTATAATCACTCTAAAAGTATGAAGGTTCATTTGAAATAAAGATTATATTCTAGATTGACATCACACTCTTTTTGGCAAAAAGAAACAAAATGATGATATTTAGAAGTGAAGTAGTCAATTTTGAATATGTGTACAAGATGTTTCACTTTTGAAAATTTGAGTTAATGAAATAAACTTAGATGGGTTGCTAAAAATTTGTACATTAATAGTTAGAAGCAAATTTAGTTTAAATTTTTTTCAGATATTGTCAGGCAGTATTTGTTATTCCAACATTTTATGCTTTAATCAAGAGATCAACAAAATTTCATTCTATCGAAAGAGACAAAAAAAATTTTGCTTTGTGTTTAATCTAACGATATCATGTCATCAACGCCAAAAATTGCAAACATTTGACCAAATTTTTTTCCAAAATTCAAATCATAAATTATAAAGAAAATTTGGAGTTACTTTAGAAATGAAATTGGAAGTTATTTATCTTGATTTCATGAGAATCTAAGATTAACATTTTGAAAAATAATTCAGAGTCTATGTCAAAGTTGTTTCGGTTGAATTGACAATTATGATGAATATGGTTGATAAAGCTGATTATGATATATTTATTTCAATTGATTGATATGACTTCACGTATGGGGTTCATGTTTGTATATCACGTTTCTTTCGTGTCGGTGCTTCGTTGCGGGGTATGTTAGCACTCTTCACGATTTTTGGTGACTTAAGCTTACGTTATTGCATTGATACGCAGTTCTCACAGTTCCAGCCTACATCACGTTGGAGAGAAGCCTCATCAAAAGTATTAAGCATTAAGCTTATTGGACTCAATCTGTAACATGAGAGTGGGCCAAAGGAAAGACTGGACTCCCTAAATTTCTCGAACTGATGTAAATGTTGTTTACAGGAGCTGGCTCCACAAGCAAACCAAGCTCTAGAAATTTGAAAATTGGGGTCTGGTCTACCAGAAGTGAGTTGTGATGATTGCTAAAGTTGTACGTGGCCAATGTTCGAGCGAGTCTCAACCTAACCATAGAACAATGGCAGCAACTCTCAGCAGCAGCAGGGCACTGCTGATCAGTGCAGTGGTGGCATGGAGCGATCTGGAATAGTTTCCAGGACTTTCAATGGGTGGACATTTCAGAGTTGTGCCAGGAAAATTCGAAATAGCAGAAAGTTGGGTACATACGTGACAGCAGATGAAGATTATGTTACCCAGGCCCAGCCCACAAAAGCACGTACGTAGGATATAAATTGTCATCCAAATCTGAGCCGTACCAACAGACCGTCTCTCTCGGTTCGTCTACCGACGTACGAGCGATCGATCACCGATCTCATGTACAGCAGCCACCTTCGACTACCACATCGCATCAAACATGTTGCAGCGACGATCACTCGCACTGGCACGCATGTACGTGTCGATGGAGTGAACCTCGACGTTCAACGGGAGTGCTCCGTTTATAGATCTGCATGAGCTCAATTCCCATTTAGAACTGTTCTCTCAGTGGCTGCAAAGCGTCGTCTGCAGTGCCCTTGAACATTCTGGGCCTGCTCTGCTACTGCTTCTGGCCTTCAAGTACCGTAGCCTCCAACTGGTCCAGTGGTCACTGAACAGACCGTTAAAACGACTAGCCGGGTACAGCACAGTCATGCCCGATCTGCCGATGGAGGCTGACACTTGCGGGTCTTCAGAACCAGTCAGTGTCAGCAAGCCTGCATGCTGTTGAACCTTTTATTCAGACACCGTACACACAATTTCGCCAATCGAAACGTCCACTCTAATCCAAGCTTACTGTGAATTAGCGGGGGCTAATTTGTGCAAACCTCGAATCGATCTCCCTCTTCCCAGAAAGTCGAGGACACCCACCTCCTCGCGTGCCCGGATGCATCGCAGCAACTGAGGACCAGATCTTCCCTGCGCGAGTACTTGCTTATTCATTCTTTGACAATTTCATAGCTGGACAGGTCATCAACCTCGTGCCACATACACTTCTCTTACGTGAATGAAAGACTGTGTCCCCAGAGGCATGCTGCATTCCGTGCCAGTTCGAGGACCGAGGATCATCCTCACCCCGGGTCTGTGACATATCAGCCTACGTGGCCATGGCGCCAAGCAATCCGAATGTGGAAGGCTTATGAAGGTGCGCGTGTTGTCATGTCTGCCGGTCTACTCTGAATTAGTGACAGGCAGCTGCATTTCAGTGTGGAAGTATGAGGTCTCAGAATGTGCTGTCTCCCGATTCCCACGGGGGACTGGCAAACGATCGTTCGATCGTTCGGAAGGGTGGGGCTTAATCGCGGACACAATTTTACTGCCGAAAGGTCTGAAGGTGGATGGACGCGGCTTGGTCCAAAGGAATGAAGAGGCCCAGGGCTTATTAAAGACCACGACCTTTTGCAAAAAACAACAGAAACGAAGCGAGCAGAGCGAGCAGAGCTCCTGGAGTGCTCGCCTGAGCTTGACCCTTGAGGCCCAAGCGCGTGCATGATGGGGATTGGGCAAGGCGCGTCGTTTTGATTTGTTTCGCGGAATTCCTCGTGTTTCCTTTGCTGCTTCGTGGGACCGTCTCGGGGAGAGATTCGAAACATCAACAGAAGAGTGACGTCCATTGCCCTTTCAAAGAGAGAGAGCGCTAAGCCGGCCAGGGAGGCCATAGGACACACACAAACCCCAGCCGGACCCCGATCCCGAGAGCAAAGCCCTCTTCGAAGACAGCCGTGCCCCATTTGGCGGAGGCGGGCGAGCTAAGGACGACTTTTGAGCTCAGACCGGCGGGCGGAGAGCTGCTGCGGTAGACAAAGAGAAGGGCCCCGGCCGCAATTGAGTGTGAATTGTGCACATTTAGACCCCCCCAAAATGCAGCATTCCATTGTCACAGTTCCGCAAAATCCTTGCCTTTCACTCACTACCTCTGTCCCTTCTACTACTACCACTGACAGCCATTGTCTCCGTCAGGCCCTCAGGCTCTGACGATTGCCGAGTGTGTGCCCTGCCCGGCCCACCGAGGTTAGCCAGAAAAGGAGAAGTGCAACAGGCTAGGCAAGACATCAAGAATGGCGTTCAAAGATGCCGGATGTGGCTCACCTGGTTCATATAAGTGCACCAAAGGAAGCGTATGTGGCCCATTCCCTCGATCTCAAAAATTTGGCCGCGAGTCCAGGAGTGAATGTCTGTTGGATGATCAAAGGGGCCTTGCACATCCTGCTGCTGGATCGTCTCATCTCGTGTCGAAGTTGGCTGTGTTCACCTGTCGGTCGGCGAAACGCGATGCGTTAGAAGGCCCTTGGGCCATGTCGAGGTGCTTGAAGGACAGTGAATATCTAGCGTTTGATACGTGATGATTTCCTTCATCTTTCTGCAATCCTACGGCTACTCACATTTCAAATAGAACTTATATACCAGCTACAGAATCATGAAAATCTTTTACGATTGATCGCTCAGAAAGGATTATACTGTAAACTAAATCTGCTCGAATAACAGACTGCACGAGCCAGAGTTAAGAGACAAATAACTTATTAACGATTGCAAGCATGAGCAGACGTTCCTGAACTGCGGAAATTTTAGCAGAAAGCTGGACCGATCTCCAGATCAGGGAAGTTTAGGATACGCCTAGCTCGAGAGCAAGTGGAGAAACTTTTCCTTCTCTCTTACACAAATCTTTGTGCATCTTGCAACAATCTGGTCTTCTGCTGCTCAAGCTCTTCACATGACCCTCGAACAGCTCGATCAGAACGGGAAAAACTTTACAGCTTGCAGTCTGTGAAATCTGGAAGGAAGTAACTTCTTTATCAGGTGCACGTAAACTTAGCAATAAACAGAAAAGATCACAACCATTGAGGTCGCAGATCCTCTTTAGGAGATAATTGTAGCTTCTGAAAGCAACACCGTGCTTTATAGGAAGTGGAAAGAACTGTCTTCACCTTGTGTTAAGAGGGATGGTGATTTGAGAATGTCATTCTCCTCGAACGTTGTACTGAAGATCTGAGCTTCAGTACGACGGGGTTTAACTCTTGTCGACTACTCTTCGTCCACATCTGCGTCCCTTCTCCTTCCTGTAATATCGGACTGATAGAAATATACATGCAAATTCATGGCGGCCCTGCAATCGAGTTCAGTTCAAAATAGTCAGCAACTAACTATTTCACTGCAATCTCCAAATCCCTCGCTACTACATGCTTTACACTTGATCTTTAGATTCGGTTTGATGAGTACATAGTTGTTAATATTTCTTGGTTTTGTCGATCATGAAACAGAGACGGACTTCGAGAGAGAACAAACTACCTGAGAAAACTGAAGTACAGTAGATAAATTGAGTACTAACCGTGGGGGACACCGCTACTAACCTTCCGAGGTTCAGACAAGGAGGATATTCTGAAACATAGATATTGCACCATGTCTTCACCTTACAGAATCAGAATCTGAATTATCAGCGAGTACACAGGATCGAGATGCCTTTTAAGTTACCTCTTAAGCCAGTCTCTTGCGGACGTAGTTCTTCCACATCCGCAAGAGAGTTTGAGTGCTTCTTGAGAGTAGTGTTTGGTGTGAATAATTGCTCTCAGCTTCGATAGGAGCCAGACTAGTCCCCATAAACATTTCGGTCGGTGGGAATTTGCATCTCTCAAATTTCCTGATTCCTTATCGACCAGGTACCTGTCTTCAGCTTGTTAAGGTGAACCCTCTCCAACGAAGTCCTAGGATATATCGTTGACTGCGCCGAGGACGAAGTTCTTTCTCCACCTGAGATACAGATTCATCCCTTGGTCGGTCCCTTGGTTTGACACCCAATTCAACGGGCACCACCCTTCGTGCAGTTCTGATGCGATTCAACATAGATTTAAACCAAGCCAAATCTGCGCTTGCGTTAGTGAGCAATCAGGAAATATCCCACATCCTCGAGAGAGAGATAGAGAGAGTGAGAGGAGGCTTCGACCATCGAACTGCAGTCAGCCCAAAGGTGATAGCGCCAAGCTTATACGATGGAGGAGAAGTTTCAAACGAGGTTCTGCTGGCTTGGAATCAACGTTGGGCTCAATTGATTGGTCCGAAGCCTATAAACCTTCTAAACATTTGAGCCTGCCGGCCTGGCCTGCCTGCTTCTTTACCGACTGACAGGTAAAATTGCGGGCTGTGGTGTGGTGGTGATTTGCTCGTGTTGTTTGTGACAGGGTGGAGGAAAGCTGTGCGTGTGTACATTGTGCCAGTGTGGTATGCACAAATGTCCGTCGAAACACACGTCGCTGAACACGCAGTTCGACCCCAACGCGCAGTCGGAGTACATCCACAAGTACCCGGCATGGCCGATCGGGCCCAAATTCAAGCGAGAAGTGATGCCGACGAAGTTCGGCGATGCCAAATTCAACGACGATACCACTTACGACACGGACTACACGAAGAAGGAGATACCTGCGAGGTTCATCAGGGCGGGCGATGGGCAGACTCTGGCAGGAAACATGCCCATCGGGACGCATTACCAGAACCCGCACTCCGAGTACATCGATCGGTACATCAAGCACCCGATCGGGCCCCGGTTCAAAAAGCAGGATCCGCCGCTGCAGAACAGCGGAGCGCGCTTCTGCGACGACACGACGTACGACACCGACTTCAAGAAATGGCCCAATGCCATGCGCCAGCCGTTCAAGCCGGCCATGACGACCAAGGACACGGGCATGTTCGACGACCTGACCACGTACAACATCGCCTACGTCGACAAGTCCAAGCACTTGCAGCGGTGGGTGCGGCCCAAGGAGGCGCCCGCGGCTAGCAACGGGCCCTTCTACGGCATCACCACGCACGCCACGGACTTCGGCCCCAAGCCCCTGTCCGGAAGAGCTGTGCCTGTGAAGCACGATTGCTCGCTGGGCAGCAGCGGCGCCAAATTCGAAGGCGAGACCACGTACCACGACGGCTACCGCGCCTGGCAGCTGAGCAAGCCCGTTCGCGCCGTGCGTCGCGACGGGCCGATCAGCGGCGACAAGTTCAAGGGCGAGAGCATTTACCACTCCGACTACATCAACCCGAAGTTGCCCCCTCGCTGCCCCGTGCTGCTGCGGCCCAAGCCCACCAACATTTGCGGTGATCACATGTGTTACTAGGCTCTGTTGCTGCGGTGGCTCTGCTCTTAGTCCGATCCTTCCCCCTCCCTCGGAATCCCTGCGAGGTCTTGAGCTGGGCCCCAACCTCTTCGGGCAATTCGCGAGAGCTCGAGATCTTTGCCCTCGGCCCTCCCTTGTCTCAGGCAGCCGGGGCTATCACGGCATTTTCTTTCTTTTCCTTGGCTTGTTGGTGCAAGCGATCATTCCTCCCGCTGTCGCGCTCGATTCGGGTTGGCCCCTTGGTTCGGAGCCATGCACGAAAATCATGGAAGATACTGCCGCAGCGGGAGCTTGCTCAGCCGAGACCGAATTCACGTGACCCAGGTCTCGTGTCCAACATTGCAGAATTCCGGGCGAAAAGCTAGCAGCAACTACGAATGAATCCTTCCACCAGACGTTGTCTGCTGTGTCTGATGCTGCCGCAGGCAGCACGATTGGGCCACCAACGATTTGGGGATGAACACCGACAGTGTCAATATCAGTAACTCAGATCCGTCGTTAACCACGGCCCTTCCGGACTTGGCCTCTTCGAGCTCACTTAGTAATTTGACTCTAGCTAGATAGCATTGTGTTCGGTGTACAGACAGGATTAGAAGGTTGGGAGATTTTCATCTTGAGCGGCCTATAGTGTACAGCAGCAGGAAAGATCTCACGGAGAAGATGCATGCGACGGTGAAGAGCGCCAGAGGTAGGTAATGCTGTCGGTCGGGCTGGCTTGAGCTCGTGATGGTTCACAGCAAGGAGATTCGATTGCTCAGTGTAGAAGTCATGGGAGCTCCTCTCCCTTAGACTGCTCTTCGTATTTCACTCCAGATCTAATGCTGTATTAAGTATTAATCCCATGTGGCTTCAGATATGGTAATGCCGAGATTCGATGTCGTTCTTCCATAAAATTCCCATCTGATTGTTTACTTGGGTGAATGAGAACTGTGCGTGTTTAGAATTGCGAAAGACCGAGGGTGAACGTCGGGGTGGGTCCGGCATGAACCTGTGTTCTGAGCACACCTACATCTGTACTGCATCCATGCTTGCTTGCGTATGCAGCAGCTAGCAGGCAATAACAGCATGAAATTCTTCCAGTGAGATTTTCTGCCTCTGTCCTTCCGTCGAGTGGAGCATACATCCATTCAAGTGGGCCAAAAGTGCAGAAGTCAGCATCCACTTATTTGCTTGCCTCATGACTTCGATGTCCATATTGCATCTTCCTTTATATTCTAATCCCAATAATCACTGCCCCTTTTTGACCTTCTTGAATTGATCAATGTGAGTGCATGTTACAACATTGATTACCTCTCGAGCACCAGCACCACTATCTATATTCTCATATGCTTTTTCCGCTCTCACCTGGCCGTCGGATGAGCTCCTATGCTTCCCATGGATATTCTGGGGTTTCCACAACTACAAAATTTTGATCCTGGAACCGCATGAGAAACGGAATCCATGATTTTGTTGTCATGACCCAGTTCCACCCCCCTACACTTCTGGTCCGGACTCCTCCCCTCTACATCCTGCAACGTAAAATTTCTCACTTGGAGCTTACATTCGTACATGATTCGAAAGGTTCACGCTTCAGGCTCTTCATAATCATTAGCACAGTGAGCAACTTTGGGTGTCATAGTTGTCCATAGCTGGCTTGGCTTCACCAGTCGTTGGCTAACCAGTCACGAGAATAGTACGTAGCGAATCTTACTGGTAATCAATCATCCAACTCGTGCTTAATCTGGAGGGAAGTTGGATGGCCTCGTCGTCTGGTTTGGCATCAGACTAGCCAGAGCCAGACTTGCTTTTTCTCCAAATCGGATAGAGTCGAAGTCTATCTCTTGCTTTTCTTTCGTCTTTTGCTGAGAGTCCATGGAGTCCAGGGTCCCGGGTCCAGCTCTATCTCTCCTTTTGCGTGCTCGTCAAGTCATACCATGACAAAAGTACCGCCTGCGTCCGACAAGAAACGCTGTCAAAGTCACCATCACCCACTTATAATTACATGGCTCCCATGTGTAATGCCCTGACCCCGCGAGCTTGTCAGCTACTCATGCACCCTTGGGTTCACACACAACAAAAAGACGAGGGTTTCATCCCTTCACGTAAGTGCGCTCTCTTTCTTGGTCGCTTCACTTCTCGCTCGGCCTCCGACTTCAAAACGGCACAGGCATTCCACTACCCATTCAAGTTGAGCTTTCACTCCCGTTTATTAACATGTCTGAGAACAGTTCTATTGATTCGATTTCGTACACCGGACCAAACCAACGAAATCTCCCAAGAATCACTCATCCTCTTTCTTTCAGCTCCTTGTATCTCGCCACGCGAATGATTGTTCTTCGGAACTTTGATGATACCTTCCATAAGTACTCGCCCATTTCATCCGCTTTAGTGTATCCTTGTTTCCTTTATGATCAGTAACTCATTCACCGCGGCCTCCTCTGAAAACGTAGGATAAGCGAGTGCACTTGAGCTCCTATGATTCCCAATCATCGTCCGCTCGCTCACGAGGGACCAACCCCAACCCAACCTTGGGCTGTTACTTCAGCCTGTCTTGATTCTTGACAATAAGACAGGACATCCCACTTGACATGCAGATTACTCAAGCAATCCATGCATTCATCCTTGAGTGGAAGAAGTTGCACCGCACTGCTCCAGATATTGCAACCACGATGGTGTGACGTCAAATATATTTTTTGTCCTGTTTGGCAAAGATACAAGCAGATGGGAATCATGTGGACATGCACAATGTCAACCTGGACTCGGCCCGGGATGTTTGAGAGAGCGAGGGAGCGAGGAATGCTGATTGGGTGCTTATCCACATCCTCCTTCACTAGAGGTGAAACAATGAACTCGTGTGCATTATTAGTGAGGTGGCTCAAGGGGATAAATTCTCGATAATCTGACATTACAAGAATTTGCCTCCGTCCATGTGCTCCCTCGAGATTCATGTTTCGTACGTGACGAATCGCATCAGCCGTTCTTTCCCCACTCCACTTCTTGCTTCTTGTCAAAACATTCCTTTCTCCCATGCCCAGGCCCCGCATGCCATATCCTTTCGGCTGGATTAAGGGGAATCAAACCCTTAAGAGTCGTGAAGAGAGCAACACATGTACCTATGTTCTCACAACACTGTTTTGACCGGATATACTTCTCCTCACCTTTGCCACACAACATGGGGTACCGTAATATCAATCCAGCCCATGTTTTCCCCCCAACCACTTCTACGGTGCGGTTCTACAACAGCAACCAAACAAAGTCCCCCTCTGGGCTCACACCTCGTCACCGGGTTTCTGGGCCTCGTGCTGAAAGTTCCGCCTGTGCCTTAAACTGAACGTTAGAGAAGCGAACGAAATCGACGACGGAAGAAAATTTGCACGTGAGAGAATCCGCTGCAGGTCGTCGATCTGGCATCCCCTCGCAGGCCTCGAGACCCACTGTATGATGGGGTGTCTAGCGAACGTCGACCGAGGTCTGAAGGTATTGGAATATTTTCCGTACGAGAGCTCCAGTTCCCGAGCTGAATTCATATTTCATCGTCCTTGCTTGCTGCACCACCACCAGTATTGTGGTTCACCTGATCCCTGTACTTGCAAATCAGACCCCTCTTCCATCTCCAGAGCTGCGTTGTAAGATGCCGGGAAGACTTTCAACTCATATCCTGCAGAAAAAATGACAAGACACAGAACGTTGACTAAACCTTCGAAGTAAATGACCGAACATGGTCGACGCTGTGTTCTTCCCATACCACCCGTCGCCTCCTTTTCGTTTTCAACGACTTCTTTTTACTCGAGCCTCGGGCATGAGAGCGAGCGAGACGAGATTTGATCGGATCAGTGGATTGCACTGAACCTGATGCTAGCGCTGCGACTTTTTGGACGAAGTAGTGGTTGCCCTGCCGGAGTCCAACCTTTCGGGGAACGCTTCGATGACAACGAAGGACCAAGAAACGCAAGAAGATATAGACGTCCAAATCTTCGGCTCAGGTTTTCAAGAATTTCATTTCTTTGAAGATGAGTGGAAGAGGTTCTGTAGTATCCTCCCCTAAAGTGCCATCCAGAGTCAATTTCCTTTCTAAACTAGTTATACATTCAACCACCTTCCTTACTTTATGTTTTTCTCTAGAATTCAACCATACAAACTTTCGCATATGAGCAAATGGCACTAAGCCTCCTAGGTTTGATTTGTTACTTGATTTTATCAGTACTTCTTATCTCTTATATAAACGAAGTGGGCCAAGTGGATAGAGAAAAAGGGGAAGACACCATCAAGTTGTACAAGCAAGAAATCAAAAGTGAAAGAAAGCTAGATCCAAATAGTGTTATGAGTAAAAGTATAACCTACAATATCTGTTTCCGGAATCAGAGTTAAAGGTATCAAAGCATCCGATATGCTTTCACTTAACGTGATGTTATCTTGTGTATAGCGATGAAAATCCTTTGGCTAAGGTAATTTTCACAATAGCTAAAAAGTTGATATTTTTTGTTATCTAATTTGATCGGCTATCATGTAGTTTCACATTAACATGTAAAATCCACATCCATAATACAATGCTAAAGTATTAAAAATATGATCTCTATACATATTCTTATACTTTCAGACTTTGGTGACTAAAATGACATTACGGCCATTCAAGAAGAAGGACAAATATCCTATATAAAACATTGTCCCATATAAGATCAAGAGTTATCACGTTCGCTAATATTATATGATCCTTTCAAAGCAAGTATAGTTTTGATTTCATCTGAAATATTCATGCTCACACAACATCACGCATAGCATATCCTCAATGACATCTTGTTATTTATATTCTGTCTTTGGAGTGTACCTTGAATCATTTGAACAGTCATCGCAGCTTTAGTATTATGACAGTCACATATATGTAATGAAGATGTGTATTAATGGAAAAATACCATGAGTAACCTTTTTTTTTTTTAACAAGTAATTGTTATTTATTATAAAAAAAGTCACAATGCATGATTAAACCTATATCTAAGAGAGTGTAGACTTAATACAACAAGATCATAAAATATACTTTTTACTATAAACATTGAGATAATAGATGTAGGAATTTTATTATAAACCTCTAGTCCAATGATTGGATCAAAAAAATTGAAAGCCTATTTCGTAACTTAAATAATAATATTTATATATGTGATTTACTATAAATATTGATTTTTTATATAATACTTAAATCTTTACAAAACACATATAAAAAAGACTTAAACATTTATATCATATAATTCAAAATCATTTATATTATTTTGAACATGTTAATTTGTGTTTTTTAGTTCATAAGCAAATCATGCTTCTATTTTGAACCTTGAAGATCATATTAGATAGATTCTTGACTACAAAGCTTGATCTGATTGGGTTTAAGAGTTGACCTTTTTAAATGTGGAGATCTGGTTTTTTATGACATCACTCTTGACTTCTCAATTGCAAATAATGACATAGATAACATTTTGTTTCAATCTACTTGCACAAATGCAGTTCATATTTTTAACATGTAGTGCATTTAAGTACATTATTCTATTAGTATATGTGACATTTGATATGCCATACTTTTTTTTATTTTCTTTAAGAAACTGATTTGCATGATATTCTTGAACCCCCATTTTTACTATGGATAAAAAATCAAATGTACTATTTTTCTTGTTAAGAACAACATAGTAGGAGAATGTTACAATGTGTGGTAGAAGATTTGGCAATGATCCACACACCTTTGCCAAATTTTTGCGAAGGGTTAGACTTATCATTATAAGCTATATAGTCGTTGCATATTTATTATATTTGCGTGTGATTCTGACACAGCTATATATATAATTTATATTTAAGTTAACATTGGTTTTTTTTCACGAATTCTACTGGAATCATAAAGTTTATCATAATTTACCCATCATTTTAATATACTATACATTCTAAAAATAAGAATAGTGTGTGGAACGATGATTAATGATATATTTATTCAGTTACATGTAATCTGTTTAGGGAATGAAAATAAACATGTGGTGTTCTCAGGACAAGAGAAGATAGATACTGATGAATTTCTTACTAATTGTGATCGAGAGCAATTTTATATTTGGTTAAGAGCACCATATTGTGTTTACAAATACTGCATGTAAAGAATGATTGGATTGTCATCTGTCTTTGATGTGATTTAACATCATCCGAGATCTTGAAGTATATGGATATGCATAAAAGGTACCAGATTTTTGGATTAATTCGTTCTGTACTTTATTTTTGACAACTTTGTGACGGAATCTATGACATATTTATAAAAAACGGTTAACATGATTTTTTTTATATCTTATGTTCTTTATTGTGTATCATTTTATCAGCAAGGGACAGCAAGTGAAGGAGATAGCAGAGCTAATATGTATTTTAATTGATGATTCTCAGAATGTAAACAAATTCAAATAATTTATTGTAAAGTTATTTGGTATTAGCCCCATTTATACTTTGGTTCCATCGCCACACAACTTGATGTGACCTTCCGTCCTTTATTCGCTCCTCCGTCAATCACGTCACGGCGGATCCTTTTGTGAAATATTATGAGAGGATAAGACACTCAGCAATTTCCTGTAAGAAAAACATGTAACGGTATAAAATCCACCAACGTTAATGTTCATGATGAACGGAGCAACTATACTCGTCTCTCTCTTCCTCGTTCGCTCGCTCGCTCGCTCGCACTCCCTTTAGAGATCTTACATGTATCTTCGAGAAACACAACCTGCTGTTGTCATAAACCGGATGCGGGCTGGCCGGCACAGCCATGCAAACTCGATGATCGACAGCTTTGCATGAAATTAAAACGGAGGCCACCGCCTCCCTCGTACTTTCCTCCCGCCGTCTGCTCACCGGGACCCACGGGGAAAAACACGGCCAGACGATCCCTTTCGTACGTGGTCAGAGTTTATGACCACGAACTGCGATTCCTATGACCACGAACTGCGATTCCTGTGATCATCATCCCAGTCAAAGGGTCTGACTGCGTATCAATACACCTTCCTCGCTATGGTAATGCAGTTCATCTTTTCTCATCTAACGGGGTCGTTTGTAACAGTCCGTCCCCAAACTGAATCCTGAATGTACTTTGAAAATATCCTGTACGCATAATCAGTATTAATTGCGACTTACAAAGTGACCTCTGCATTAGGGCTTCCGGAACCATTCTCAATTTCTAGAACCTGAAAGTCTCCTACTTATGGTAAATAACCTCCCCTTCTTCCGATCACGTTGTATTTTTATTGGACTTCAGTTGAAATAATGACAAGAATTGTAATCTATGCGTAACAGGAAGTTTTCGAGAGTACTTCTACTGTCTTCTTCTATCACTCTGGACAGGGAATATACTTGATTACGATGTCAAAACTGGTCCAGATTTCTAATTTTTTGGGAAGAAACTCAATCATTCTGTATGTGATTAAGAATGTAATGTGAACGCATTTCTAGTCTACTCTGTTTTAATTAATATTTGAAGGTGTCGAAATCATAGGAGGGAAAGAAATGACAACCTGATACAGAACTAGAAGGGACAGACCGCCAGCTCCTATCAAAACAGTCGAGAGCCATGCACAAACCATTCACAAAGAACAAACTAATAACAAAGCACAAACAATTCACAAAGAGACTTCAACTCAGGCATTGTAAAAGAGAGTTACGGAAGGGGCAAGTCGAGTTGAGATTTTTGGAACTCTTTTCGGGTCCTTTGGTCCTTGGTCAAAAATCTAAAACATTGAAGCTTTTAGGTTTTGGTCGTTTGTACTTTTTTCGAAGGTTATAGTCCCTTGCGGTGCCTCTTATCTTCTTTATAGCCGAAGGCAAAGAGAATACTTTTGCAGGAGAAGACCGAAGTTTAACGTTTTGCTCTCCAGATTTTATAAAGAATTGCTGGTTGTCATGGATAACATGAAAACAATCAAACTATACCTGAAGAGAGCTCCCGGTCATGCAAAATTGCTTGGAGCTCAATTGTACTTCATACTAGGTCTTATTTGTTGGAGGACATCCTAGCTTTAGAAACAACTGTATGGATCGTTCCTTCTCCACTCTTCAAATTCGTGTACTCCGCTTTTCCTATGAGCCGAATCAGTTTGGATGTCCTCCAAGTTTCCTGCGACTACTCTATCCATCACTTATGAGATGAATGGGGGCCAAAGTAAAAAGCGAAAAAGGATGGGAAGAACCCTACAAGGATGAAACAAAACATCTAGGTCCCAATAGTATCTCAATCTTAAATATGTCTGATAGTATCTAAGATATCTTTCATGCGTTGGAGCTGGTTTACTGGGTCTCAAAAAGTAGGACCGCACTTGGATAAAGTACGTAGGGAGGTAGAAGGAGAAGGTAACCGCTGAAAGCATTCGAAGAATATTGCTGGTAGAATGCCTAGAGGCGTAGAGTACAATGGAGTGCAGTGCGTGGAGTTGAAATGGGATTCACACCATGTTTGTGATTAAAGTAAAAATGAAAAAAAATTCACAGAAATTGCTTGCTAGCTCTTAAGCTTCTTGATTACTTGTGAACGTCCACGATTTGGTTTTGCAATTCCTGTGCCTGAAACTCACGAGATTCTTGGGGGGTAGTGGAGCTCATGAGGTGTTTCTTGATTGCCACCTTTTGTCCCGGAAGTGCTCCATGGCAGCCCTGTGTCCTTAGTTATGTCTCCATTCTCTCCACCATCGGCATCACCGGAGCACGAAAATCTGCAATGCAAAGTCAGTCAACCGTGCTTCATATTCTATCACCACAGCTGAGACGCATTGAATTCCCCCATCAGCTTTTCCATAAATCATAGCTCCTTTGGCATTAACCAACTGATTTTGATTGGAATAAAATGCAAAGATCTCTGAAAAGTTAGAGTGATCTTCTAATGATAGGAAATTCCAAGACCTAAAGTCCGCACTCTCCTAAGACCGATAAAAGCAGGAAGTATACGTCGACTGTAAGTGTAATTATGTAACTTTGCTCCACGGCATAAACTTTCAACGTACCCGGAGAACGATGTGGAAGAAACAAGTTGATGGTTTCCAAGATACGCTATGATTAACACCGAAAGTACCCCGTCCCACGTCTGACATACATGGTTGAAAGGGTTGCGCATTGACAATCTTCATTTGTCCGCGGTGTTCTTGAACGTGTCTGAATAATGGTTACCGCCCACTTTTCATAAATTGAAGTGTTCTAGTACAAAAATAACCCCCGCGCGAAATTGCTTCCGCATCAATCAACTTCACCGTACAGTGCTCTCGGATGCAGCACAAACTGGAATATAGAATCATTACTTTTATACCCCTCGTCTCCTTTAGCAATACAATCCCGTTCCGATATTCCGCTACCTTTTCAAGTAGAAACAAATCACGTCATTTAGAAATAAGACAGACAATTTGTCGCTGATGGGCCTCACCATCGAAGCGGGATGCCTTCCCCACATACCACCTCAAAAAGTGCAACCTAAGGAGACAATCCGATGTCGGCTATCAATGCAAGAACGGAAACATTGAAGGGGAAGAAGAAATTCGCTCCACAAGTGTGATGAGTGCTATGACATACTGTAGAACTCTATGTTCGGCGGAAGGTTAAATGCATTATTTAACGAAACCCTACGAATGCAGCAAAGACGATGGGAAGACTCCAGCCAAGGTGAAATTGATCCTGCTACATGTCCGAGTTTTAGCATGCAGGGCTTTATACTGTGCAGGATCGCTGTCATGGAAAAGAATCTGTTCCATGCAAACGAGGACGAATTGACCAAATCAAATCCTCCTCTGCTCTGTTGTGGTGTTGGTCCCACATGTTCCTACAATTCCTGCACCTTGCTGGCTCCGCAATGCTTTTCGTTCTCGCCATGCGTTCTCCCGATGATCAATCCTTTTGACTTATCTATGAATGTTGGGCTTTACGAGCCTGTTCATTGTCCAGTGCAAGATATTACCACTTACAAGGATAAAGCTTAATAATTCCTGTCCGCGGAAAAATCTGGTCAGTGAGGTTACCATTGTTCTCACTCTTCGGAAATCTCTGACCTCCCTTTTTCTTTTGTCTACTTGACCAGCAAATATGGTCTATAAGAGGTAAATTAGTCTAGGCGTTGTAGGGACGCTAGGCATGAACTTATTGCTTGTATTTTACCCACGACTTGATATCGTTTATAGAAAAGTTGCGGTCTTCCCGTTTACAATGAGATATTGGGATTTTCCAATGCTCATTCATACAGTTCATTTGTCTATCCGTTTATACATTAGCTATAAAAGTTTTAGCGAACAGTGTATTCATTGTGAGAAGTGTTAATCAGATAAGTGATACAATTTAATACTTGCTTATCTAGAATTATCTTTCTAAAGGTATCTAAGTACAGTGCATGATATCTTTAGGCATATGTTCCTCGCATGCATACTTTAGAAAAATGAAATGTCATCACCAAAAGCTTTAGGCATTCTTGGAGTTTCAATAATATGAAAGGATTTTGTGGAGTGCTACCTAGACAACACTCTTCAAGTATATGTACTGCATATAAATACCTATCTTACACTTGTTACTATTACGAGCATTTGATATTGTCTGATCTATCTTTGCTCTTGTACGCATCTAACTACTTCACACGGACATACTCTGATAACATTTTATGCCGTCTTTGATTTACATCATTAGATAAGCGAAATCAGAGCGCGTGCTAAGAAATTTAGCATGAATACAGATTTTCTTCAACTTGGTGTGGAACTAGGCTTATGATTAAAAAAAGAAATTAAACATGTAGATTCTTTTGGATTCAGGCTGTATCATCAACTTTGTTATCTTATTTGTTTCTGATTTCCAATATATTATTTTGTTGAAATGTATGGAGGATGTAAATGGCATAATTTTCCTCACAATACTGATTGAGACACATAATATATATTTTGTTACTGTTAAACACCAATTTTATAATTTTTTTCCTCATCAATTTGACTAGTGATCCATATTCTATCTTAATAGATTTATAATTGAAACACATGCTCATATCCTTTAGTACTTGTGATCATTCATCAAAGATAATAGATATAAGTAGTATGAAATTCATGAATTATATATTATCCTTATCTAGATGTGAGGTTTGGAGAGTTTGGGAAATTGGAAAAGCATAGAAGGTTACAAATTCCAATGATTGATTCAAATTGTGTTACGTTACATTTTTCTATTGTACAAAGGCATAACCGTCAAATAGAGAGTTCATGATTGCTCCGGCTCCAAAGCTGTGGAAGTCCTTGGTCCATTTCATGATAGTGTCTAATGGTTGCACCATATTGAAACTTTGCCATATCGCTGCAAACTTACTTGTATAATTTCCAAGTTAGTCATAAATTGGGGAGCGGCTAGTTATCCATCTGTTTGGGTTAATTATCCCTCACCCTAGGCTAATGTGCATTACACTCTGTGCTCGCGAACATTATATCACGGAGCTCTAGTAAACACAGGGATAGCTCTGATCAATCGCAGAACTCTGTTGAACAGGGTGAATGATAATTAGACCAAACTAAGGAATAACTAGCCCCGTCCCTAAATTATTATATATGAATGTCATCAAGCCACAGTAACATATAATGCTAATTATCTACTTGATGGGATCTTCTTAAACGGGGCCAAGTGAATAGCAACAAGCAGCCATTTGAGATATTTGAGTAATATCTAAATGATAAAACAAAGAATTAAGCACCACAGTTTGTTATGTACGTCCTCGTGGTGTGGTGAGGCTATACATAGCATCGCGATACATACCTCATGTATATTATTTGCCTATTATCCGAGCAAATGTTCCGCCCTAAATATGGATATAATCTACAACGGACATATCACAGAGCCGGATAATAGATTCCTCGCGAAACCCGGCAAGGCTCGGTCCTGCGGGGGTCAACCTAATCATCCGACCAATAATTTGATGTAATGCGAACCAGGAAGATTGCGGTTTAGGAAATTGTGAGGAAATAAAAGGAAACGAACGGACTGTCGGAAGTCAGACATCCTTCGACTATTCACTCGACCATGTTTTTAGGCCCTACCCGCAGCCGCGATTGTAATATGCGCCATGCCTCCCCCAAGTCCGTAGCCATGGGTAGAAATGAGCCAAAAGTTACTCCGAGCTCTTCAGCGCGGGCGCTGATTTCTGCAATCATCTGTTCCCTCACAGGAAGAAGTTTAATCAACCGACTTCCGGTAAGTACACCGAACCATCGGTCGGTTTCCAGCAACAGCAGCATCTTTGATTCCATATTTCGTTACGCTTTACCGAAATTAGCGCGCGCGATTACGATGGCGCCGCTAGGCTTGGCCACGGTCCGGTCCGGACCGACGGTTAACCGGTTAACCGTCGGGACCGGTTAACCGGTCCCAGATTTCTCCGGACCGGTTAACCCATCGGTTAACCGGTCCGGGGAAAAAAATTTCCTCTGGCAGCAGATTTAGACCAGCGAGCCTCGCTGGTCTAATTCTGTCGCCAGAGTAAATTTTTTTATCATCTAATTTGATCACCCAATTCGATAATTGGATAATCTCTAGCATAAATCTCGAGCTCGGATCAGGGTTTGACATTCCCCCGGGAATCCCCCGGGAATAGATAACTTACTTCCGGAACAGGGGGTGAAACAGGGGGACAACTGGAGGAATCCGCTGGTGCACTCTTGCTAAGAGGGGGCTACACCCGGAGGATTTTAAGGGTTAAACCCGGGGACACCCGTTGTAAATGTCATTTTATTGAAAAAATTTTGGGAGCATTCACACGAAAATAGCGGACTCAATAGCTTTCAATCCACTGAGAACACCCGGAAATTTTTTCCGAAAATATCCGGGCGACCCCGAGAAATCAAGAATGCTCTAGTCAGAACGTCGGGGCTACGCCCCGACGTTTTGTGGCGCATTTCCGGGGTCACCCGGTGGTTCTAAGCCATGCCTGTCAAACCCTGGCTCGGATGTGTTTCTCCAGCTTCCCTGCACCCTGGCGCAAAATCGAAGTTTCTCCAATTCGAGAGCGTTTTCACCTCCACTCTAAACACCCTGGCAATCAAACCATCAACGAGACCAGAATCACGACACTCGCTGGGCACGACAGGACCCACGACCGAAGACAATGAGCAATCGATCCCAGCCACAGCCCCTCCCATCGGCCACGTAGGGTCGACAGATGGTTAACCGGTTAAAACCTCGGTTAACCGTTAACCGATATGGCAAAATGCCGGACCGGTTAACTTACCGGTTAACCGGTTAATTGGACCGGTTAACCGGTCCGCATATTTCCCGGACCGGTTAACCGTTAACCGGACCGTGGCCAAGCCTAGGCGCCGCTCGGCGAGCGAACGACTGGCGCGGTAAATGTACACGGGAGGGCAGCGGAGGGGAGGGTGGGCCGGGAGCCGGGGGCCGGGGCCAGTGTCAAGAAAGGTGGGACCGAGAGATTTTGTCCTCTCTGTCTCTCACCTCACCTCACCTCATCTCGTCGCAAGAGCTGGTCCTGCTTTCTGTTGCAGCAGCCTACCTACATCGTAGGACGGGGGATGAATGCGGTGGCCTGGCTCCGTGGCTCGCTCGCTGAATTGCGGGAAGAAGCAGCCGCAAGCCCGTAACCGCGCCGGAAGGAAAGGGGGAGGGATGATTAATTATCCTTCTTGGGATTCATGGCGAGCTGCAGCAAGGCGAGCCCCGAGGCTCGGAGATTCCAGGGAGAGATTGCCTGAGGCAGAGCAGCAGGAAGGGAGGTAGATTATGCCGTTTGGCAACGCCATTCTGACTGGAAATTGATTAGAGTTGGGTGGGGGGTTGGGATCATTGAGTGAGGAAGGGCGAGTGCGTAGGGAGGGACAGAGCGAGTGAGCGGAGCTGAGGCAGTAAGCTAATCAGCTGAGCTAGTGGTAGCGGGGTGCTAGCAGGCCGACGACGATGGAGTAAAACTATGGACGACCTCTGGCACGTCCCTGCTTCTTTTTATCCGTCTGGCCATGAAGGCACGAATGGAGCGGACGGATGTAGAGTAGGTGCGAGTTACAGTGAAGTCTAGGCGCTTCGTTGGGCTCGGGCTCGGGCTTCTGCTTCTGCTCGTTGCTGCCGCACGGCATTCTTCCTCTCGCGCACTCGCTGTGCACTGGGCCTGAGCATAGTAGGCGTGTTTCTCTCCTCGGAGTATTCATCGGCACACTACATACATACATACATACTAGCGCATGCCGCAGGGCGCCTGGCTGCCTCTGTCGCTCGATTCTCCACCAACAGCGACACCCCATCCGTCTTCCGACGAAGAAATAGATCCGTCTAGTCGTGAGCCCGCTTCTGCTGCTGCTGATGCCGAGAGCAGCGGCTGCTCGCGTTGCGTTGGCCAATGGACTGAAACATTTTTTGGCTGATTGCTGAGGACTCTGTTCTACTTCTCTTCTCTCGTTCCTCCTCGTTTCCTTCCGCTTCTGTTGCCGTACGAACTGTTGTCGGAGTGGCGAGGAGAGGGGAGTTGTTGAAGCAGCCATCCAAGCCGCAACGACCAATGTTTGTGAAAAGAGCCGAAAGCAAATGCCGTCTTGTGCAGACGAGCATTACAGTGAGAGCGTGCGAGCCAAATCGGTCGTGAAAAGCTCGTCGGGTGGGAGCCTTATCAAAGAGACATTCAGGAGGCTGTGGAATGTTACAGCAGGTGATCCGCCAGAGAAAATCGCATTTGGTCGTGGCTGTTGTTTGCCCCGGCCAGTAGAAGAAGGAAGGAGGGACGCCAGGACGGACAAGTACGGGGACGCTGTTGAGCAGCTGAGCGAGGGAGGAAGAGAAACAAAGAGGACGAGATAAGCTCTGCTACCAGATTGGGCATGAATACGAGAGACCTACCACGGTCAGCACCACAAACGTCATCGCGGAGCAGGTTTCCCATACAGGTCGGTCGCTGGAAGCAGCAGCAGCCTCATCATGTGGGCTTTCCCTGCGCTGGAGCTTACTACCAAACATTGACTCGAGACGCAGTGCAGCGCAGAGAAGGTCGCGCATTTCCAAGTTGTGAAATGTCCTCCATTCGCCGAGCAGCGCAACATCGTCGAGCGTAGGTTGCTTAATTATCGCAAGGGGAGGTGCGTAGGAAGTACATTGTCACCACCGTATTCTCCGTGGTCTGAGAAGCCCCGGGGGCGTGCGCGATTCATGCTTCGATCTTGATGGGAAGAAGGTTGTATGTCTGGGATGGGAGGGTCAAACTGAACAACATAATGCGCCCCCATCCGACTGACATTCCGGCGGTGACAGTTTACGACGATGTCGTCTGCCTTTGTGAAATCATAGCTTCGTAGTACATACCATTACACCGTATTTGCTGTCGTTCTATCGAGAAGAGCTCCTTAAAGCCGCCACGACCTTAGCAACAGCGGATTGAAGGCAGGAGACGGTGAAGCGCGGGCACGCTGGCGCTGTTCAAAATGAGCTTTTTAAATAACAAACTTTCTAAGACCACCAGCATCTTCAACCTCAAGTTATGGGTTGTTATCGGAATAGGTGTGGGCATTTTTATATTTGTGATTCTGTTCTTTCTGTCCGCTTGGCTCGTGTCCCGGAGGAGAGACCGGAAAGATGGGAAGCTACCGATGAATGGGATACCGGACGACTCCAAAGAGATCAAAGAGGTGAGAGTCGATAGAATCAATGCCAACGGGAATGCCTATTTGCCTCCTCCGGATGGCATCCTGCTCACAATCACCGAGAGTCCTCAGGGCGGAGAGAAGATGGATCCGAATGAAAAGATGGTCGTTCATGTGGGATATAAGCAGCAGGGTCAGCAGCAGCAGCAGCAGCAGCCGCCGCCGCAGCAAAAGCACCCTGGAGAGAAATTTCAGCAGCAGACGCTTCAGCAGCAGAGGAAGGATGGACAAATTGAGAAGCAGAACCTGCTGGCGAACGACAAGTTTTCTCCCGATGGCAAGGCTCGACGCCACGACAAGGACAACACCAACGGACAGCAACATCAAGGACCCCAGCAACAGCAGCAGCAGCAGCAGCAGCAAGTGATGGGTCAGCAGCTCGTCGTTCACGGACAGGAAGCACAGGAAGGCATGATGCAACTCGACAGGGGGAACCACATCCTGGCGCATGGGGGAGACTCCAAAGGCAGCTCGGATGGAGAGCGACGAGCGCTGCTGGCCGCCGACACCCCAGAAAAGGGATCCGGCATGAGCGGAGATGGTCGGGCCGTGGACTCACCCGCCGCGCTGGGTCCGGAGGTTTCGCACCTTGGCTGGGGCCATTGGTACACACTTCGGGAGCTCGAGGCAGCCACCGAAGGTTTCGCTGAAGCAAATGTGTTGGGAGAAGGCGGCTACGGTATAGTCTACAGGGGCCAGCTCGTGGATGGCACTCTAGTGGCAGTCAAGAAGCTTCTGAACAACAGGTTGGGCCCCCTGATCCTCAATAACACTCAATTGTCTTGCGCCGTGACATTCCCAGGACCAGATCTTCTCGTCACCGCCATCAACGCGGAGAATGCATGCCCGCCAAGCCGGCCTTCTTCTGCGGGAATCTGTCTTATCTCATCTGTAGGTTCGATAGCAAGTTTCTCCTAGATTTGGCAGACCTGCGCCCGCTGTTCACGAGGGATTGTGCAGCGGGAGACTTCCACGCGTCTCACCGCTGGAGTAACGAGCGATAGTGGTCTTTTCCGTCGCCTTTCTCGATTCTGTATCTTCTTAATGTGTCAGTCCAAATCTAACTCTTCTTATTACGTCCGTAGCAGGGGCCAAGCTGAAAAGGAATTCCGGGTGGAGGTGGATGCTATCGGTAGAGTTCGTCACAAAAATTTAGTTCGATTGCTGGGTTACTGTGCCGAAGGTGCCGCTCACAGGTAATTTTTCACCCGTGTACTCGCTCATTCGAGAATCTAGTCTTGTTTCGAGATATTGTCTGTACCAGTTCGTTGTGAGATCTGCAGCCTTTCTTCCGAAAACGTTCCAGCCTCATGTGCGTTGAGATGGCAGGAGCGCAATTTGTGAATTGTTCCAATTCCACCCTTGAACCTTGACTCTCGTGTCTGTGCACGATGGCGATGACTTAATTGATGAGCAGTTTCCCATGAAATATCTCTACGTCTCATTCCTGCTCCAGCAACCGTTGACAACGCACTGACTAGTAGGATGCGGTTACTCATGCGTCTTGTGCATGTCGGCTGCAGAATTCTTGTGTACGAATACGTCGACAATGGCAACCTGGAGCAGTGGCTACATGGTCCTCTCGCTAACTCCAATGCCCTCAATTGGGACGCCCGGATGAAAATTGTCATGGGCACTGCTAAGGGGTAATTCTCTTGCTTACTGAATTCAATAATCTCAAGAGACGAAGCACATTGTCGGATAGTCAAGCTGCCTAATAATTAGAATGAAGGCTGATTCCTGAGATGGAGACTTTTTAAGCTGTCTGTTTTGGAGGACCCTGTTCTGTGTGCTCTGTTGGAGTGGTAGAGATGTCTGAAAGGCAATCTTTTCTTGTTCTGTTATATATGCCACAACGCAACAGTCGGGAGAATGCCTATCCCAGGGAAGAATTGTTTACGCAACGATATCATCCTGACTCGTGATCCGTTTGCAGGTTAGCATACCTTCATGAAGCTCTCGAACCAAAGGTTGTTCACAGAGATGTCAAGTCTAGTAACATTTTGGTCGATGGACAGTGGAATGCAAAAGTTTCTGACTTCGGATTAGCGAAGCTACTTGGTTCTGGCAAAAGCCATGTTACCACCAGAGTCATGGGTACTTTTGGGTACGGCCTCTTTTCCCTCTCCGTATAATGTCAATTTCATGCGGCATGTCATGCTCTTTTGCAAGCTGAATACCCTGCTTTTCCTGAGTTGGTGCAGAACCACGTCTCGGTTGCTTCATACCACTGACATTCAACTTTGTGCCCTCTTAATGCAGATATGTAGCCCCAGAGTATGCAAATACTGGTCTTTTGAACGAAAGAAGTGATGTATACAGCTTTGGAGTTCTGTTAATGGAGATTATTACTGGAAGAGATCCTGTGGACTACAGCCGTCCGTCCGGGGAGGTAGGATCATTCACATGCAAGAATGCATTGAATTTGCTTCTTATCTCAGTGGATTAGATCAATTCACAGTTCTCTGTTCCGGCTGCTCGATTTCACTTAGACCTCCTATTTTTCCCCTTGATCTGACACTCTTCTGTGCCAATGCAGGTGAATTTGGTGGACTGGCTCAAAATGATGGTGGGTAATAGAAGGTCAGAGGAAGTAGCAGATCCCCGCCTCGAGATCAAACCGACCTCGAGGGCACTGAAACGGGCACTGTTGGTAGCACTACGATGCGTGGATCCAGATTCTGTTAAGAGACCCAAAATGGGTCAGGTTGTGCATATGCTTGAGGCGGAAGACTTCCCGTTCCGAGATGTAAGCCTCTCAATCCTTACTGTGAGTACCTCCCTTCGAGTCGAGAGTCTAGAGTCATGAACAGCCAACCTAGATGTGTTGATTTTCTTCAATGTCTCTTTTCCCGGAGATCCTTTTTGTTTATACTGCTATAATGAGATCAGTGCAGTTATGCAATTGTCTTGGTAATTATATCCATCCAATTTACCTGGAGCCTGACGTCTTGGTTTTTGGTCTTACAGGATAGAAGAATTAGCAGGGATGCTCGCTCAAGGCGGACGGATTCTCTCAACCAAGAACGGATGCTGAAACATTTGTCAGCAAAAGATACTACATCTACATCCAAAGCTGCTGATCAAGAAGATAGTGATAATTCTGTTGATAGTCCCCGAAATCTGTCCTATGTCAAGAAATACAGGAGGTATGAGGGCTAGAAAGGCGAGCCCCTATCTCCACTCTCCCTAATTCTTCTTTCTGAGAGCGGGTTAGACGATAGTTCGGCATTAGGCGAGTACATACCATATACATACAAGTGGGTGCTTGTGGCAGTGGTAGGGTGGGCAGGGTCGGGGTCAGGGCCAGGGCAGCTCGAAAAGAGACCAAACGTTTTCCTTATCTGTTGAGGTTGATTTAGTTTAGGACATTCATTCAGGATCACATCTCTGCGTTGCTGAAAACCACCCTGGCTGTGTACAACGCTAACTTGCAAAAGCTTTGTGTAGTTTATAGTAACTAGAAGGTAGCTAGGAAGATTGTTTCTCTTTGCATCTGGTCATGAATGACACTGCTTGTACATGGAGGTTATCAAAAAGTTTTAAAGAGTGCTATGAACTGGTAACAGTTTACCATCCTACTTTTACTTCGGTCGTTTGGGATTGATTTGTATCCAATTCTCATGTCGGTTGACCTGCTTGAATTATGCTTTTGATACATGGGGACGGATACTTTGCCTTCGTCCAGAGAACCGCGAGGCGCCGTTGACGTAGTTTTTGATGCCCCAATGATAATATGTCCTGGTTAATTTAGTATGACACATTTCTTCGTCTCCATGTATACCCGGAACGTCTGATATGTATTTTCGACCTACTCGGGCCAAATTTCACACGTTTTCACACTTTCGTTGAAGAATCCGGCCTCTTCTCGATCATGAATCTCACCCCCGAGTCCTTGAATCATTTAAGCTATGGACCTCGGAGCGGAGTAAATTCTTTCTTGTCGTGCAAAGTTTCACTTTTGGAAAAGCTGTCGTCGATCTGAATTCAACAGTGATGTTCTGAAGTGTCGCATAGAGTATCGACCAGTAATTGGAATGCAATTGCTTGGTGATGTACAAGAAAGTACAAGAAATGAAGACAACGAGGAGAATCTTCGATATTGGGAGAAAAAATCTGAAGTTCCCACATGTATCTTCGTGTCTGATGTTCTGTCAGCTCCTGTTACACGTTCCCTGTCTGAAAGCTACATCCATGTGTAGGATCGTGGAGCGCAGCCATGGATCTCGAGACTCGGAAATTTAACGGGTCTTCTTCATCTTTTGAAGACAATTTAGACATTTTGAGTCGTGGGAAGATGACTTTATCGTGGAGATAAATATACCGCCCGTGCCAAAAACATTGTGCGAAGGCTGACGATACTCTCTCAGAGCGGCTCACCTCACCGTCAGCGAAGCAAGCTTCGTCACACCTGGCGGCTCAAAACGAACATTCCGCATTGCAGAACTAGTCGATGATTATCTGTGTCTACGAATCGGACAAAAAGGCGAGCACGTTCATGACAGGCGAGCTGAAGAAATTGGAGCCGTTCGTTCCAGACCAGATCGCGCATTCTCACGGGAAACAGAAGTGGCAGAACCAATGGCCATGCCCTCTAGGGCGACTGAAGGAAAGTTGGCTCGCAGTAGTAAACTTTTTGACTCTCCAACCAACGCAAAATTCACATTTTCCAATCGTCGTAGTACGCAGAATCAAAGCATCCCCCAACGGCTGTTCCTCAGGATCCCAGTGATTGCGGGAATCCTTCCTTTCAAAGCCCCTTTTATGACCGTAAAGCGGGCGCCATGTTGTATAGCAAAAAGGAGAGAAAGGAGCCCCCTTTTATAGACAGGAGAAATTGGCCACGAATGCTTATAATAGCACTAATTCCATTGAAAATTCCAGCCGAAAGTGGCAACAGCTGGTGGTCGCTTCAAGCAACAACGGTCCAAAAAAGTCACTTTTTCCCGTGTCTTAAGGGTGTCTGCACCAAAACTCCCATCTCCAATGACCGCCAGTGCTACAGCTGCCCAATGACCAATTCACGTTCCTGAAAGCCTACTGCCCCACGAGTAACCCCCACTGCATATGGCCATCCTCCATTGCGTCTTTACCAGTACAGAGAATGTCAATCTTGTTCCATGTCGAGCGCTACTTTCATACGCTTCTGTCATTCCTCCCTCCCTCATGTGCTTTGCCTCGATCCTGCCACCTGCAAGCAGATAACGAATACGTTCAAACCCATTCAAGACACCATCAATTCCAATGCGGGATGCCATGTAGCAAGTATCGCACGTCGGTGTCGATGGGGCCGCCCTCCATAACTACGAGGACATGTGTGTTGCCGACCTCGACTCCTTCACGAAAACAGACGCACACGCTGTGGCCGAATTTACATCAAGCTGCTCGCACTGCGGCAAAAGTGGGCGACATAAGAATTTCTCCACCTCGGCCTCGTCCCCAAGATACCGCCAAGCTTTATCCACAATCTCATCTGCCGCTTCTGCCTTTTAGCACTTTTCCAACAGCAACTTCCAATTTCTTCCCTCCCATCCTTCGATTCCTCGGAGTTTCTTGACCGGTGGCTTCGGATGCTCAAGCAAAGTCGTTCCCTTTTGTCTCTTGCCAAATTGGCGCCGAATCTTCCACCCTTGATTTAGTTAGAGGTATCTGTTGGGTGGATCGCAACGGGAGTTCGGTTGACCATCGTAGCTCGTGTCACCGCTTACGACCAACTACAAGAATCCGAAGCAGCCGTTCCCTCAACCAGGTTCGTTACTCTGTCTACATACTGCGGCATCTACTACGTCGGATTAGCACTAAAGTGCAGGACCGGGAGTCCGGAACTTTACCGTTACTGTCCGGTTCCCCTATATAATTGATGCCTTTTGGATGGTGCAGAGAACGGGACTAAATTTGGCCCTCTTGAGCCAGATCGAAAACTAAGGGGAGACGGATGGAATAGAAAGCTCGATGAAAACACATCGAATTAGGGACAAAGCGAAAGAAAAGAAAAGCTAAATTTAATAGCTTGTTTCTAGTTAAATAGCGCTCTTGTCAAGACATCGAGAGTAATGACGTTATCCACATCTCGTTCAACTCTCCATGATGTCATCTCTTTGGTCGTTGTCGTGGATAACGGATCAATGTGGATAACAAACGATAATGATAATATTGAAGCCATACAATTATCAAACTTGACTACGGCCAAATGGTAAATATTTCCTTCTGGACATATCATAGATCATTATACATATGTAAAATATTTAATAAATACGTATCGCAGTACGTTAAGGAAAATATTAAAATTTAAAATAATCATAAAAATAAGAGCAAATGTACATAATTAGGAAACTTGAGCTGCAAAAATAATTGAAATATTCCTACATTTGATCCATTATTTGGCAAAGTACATTTTCTCTTTAATAATCAATACCCAGATTTTTCTTTCTAGCTCCAACGCGTACCTATATTTATTCTTGAATTTAATTTAAAATCAAGATCAGCTTTCAATGATGAAGATATTTGTTTCATTATTTTGCGAAAGTACATATTCTATTTGATAAACAATACACAATTCTTTTTGTTCTCGTTTCATTGTGTTAGTGTACTCGTTGCTGAATTTCTTTTTGAGGCAACGTAGTTATTTAACGATGAGGTCCACAAAGCTTGATGGAAGAATAGACACATAACAAAAAACATGGGGTAAATACACTGCCGTTGCATTGTTACGATCCCTTTCAGACTTGATCACATGTATTTTGATGCCAGACTAATGACTAGATTTTCAATAGAATAAAGCACTATATTCTTATCAGTGTCAAACAATCTTTCAAATGACATTGCAATAAACAAACCACACCTTGACACAAAATGTACAACAATATCCTTGTCAATCACAAAATGTACAACAATACCCTTGTCAATCATGAAAAAAACTTTACTACACGATATGATATGATCTTGTTCTTGGATTTGTGATTCAAAAAGTGAAACTTTCATTCATGTCACATCTCAAAGACAATGGATGATTTTAAAGAAAATTGCTTCCTGCTTTGATATTAGCAATGCAGAATGTTGCAAGATTTTGAACAATATATCTAAATAATTGAGATCAATGAAAATTAAGCAATCCATCACACGGCAGTTTGAAATCAAGATTTATTTGATCCATGTATTCAACAATACATCAACAATGAATCAAGAACCAATGCAACATTTTTTCCAAAGATAATAAGTGAGTTGTAGCAACCTTTGAACATTTAGATTGCATTTTGTTTTTTAAGTTTTACAGTCGACGCAAGTATCCACGAGTGGTAGATTACGAAGTTGAGATATACAAAAATAACAATCAACTTGATGTGCATCACATGAGAATTTAATTAATTAGCAATCTTCTTGTTTGACTCAATTAGAAACACTAGTCACTATTTCACGTATTCGGTTTGTCATATTCTGAGCATCATAGGAGCATGTTGATAAGATCGTGTGTACCAAAACGGACAAATTGCATTCATAGCCTTCTCAAACATCTCAAACAAGTTGTCTCCAGTGTGATGTTGGTAAAAAGTAAGACAACACAAATGGAAACAATACAGCTATGTGCCCATAACAAACTTCACTCAAACGTCAAAATACAATGTGCTCTCAATAATTTATGATTCGAATGTAATTGAAAAGTTTCAACAACCAGCAAAAAAATTGCAAGATTTTTGAAGTCAAACGGCAGCAGCAAACCAAACAAACGATGATAATTTTGCCTCATTGCATCTGTCAAGATAATCAAAAGCCAATTTTTTGTGTGCACACTTCACTTGGGAGATAATTAACCTTAACAATAAGTCAAAACCAACAATTTCAATAATAAGGTAAAGAATTTTGATGTTCTTAATATGAACTCGATAACAAACTATCATATTGTCAAATCTAATCGGCTTGAAGAGTCTCAACGCCTGATCAATAAAAATATCTTTAGTTTCAAGATCAAATAAAACCGTGCAGTGCATTGTGTCGACAATGTGACGCATACGCAGACCAATGATAAATTTGAAGAGGTTTGATCATGTATGATAGATCTTTTATCTACTAGCAATTAGGTCAGTTCTTAATCAAACGTTAGTTGATCTTATCATAGTTAGGTAGTTAGCTCCATAAGAAGGATATCAAACGCTTTTTTGGATATAAATTTATTTGTTTTTTAGTAAAAATAAAAAGATCAATTAGTTTTGTCAATGAAATAATGCTAAGATCAATTAGTATACTTTCTAAGGATTTCATTGAAAATGCTTGTTACTTCGCATGTTGATTTGGATCAACAAAAGAAATCAAAGCGTGAAATTATTATAGAGGAGATTTTTGGCAAGAAATATAATAAATATTTTTAAATGAATGAACATAGCAAATATTCTTAGTAGATTTATTGATGATTCAACTATCAAATCTTTTATAGTTGCCAATTGATGAAAAATGATTTGATTATTATTTAAAATATAAAATATTTGTAAGAAATTAACCAATGCAAAAAATTTTGACAAAAAATATTTGAAAATAAACATATAGTTTATGAACAACAAAGTGCATGCAATTCTATATTTGAAACACATATTTTGGATCAAAAAATCTATCAAATCCAACAATTGTACATTTTTTATATTTGTTTTGACATCTAAATACCACAACAATCATGAATCTTTTAATTTTTGTAAAAGTTTAAGAAGTTTTCTTTTTTAAATATATAAGATCACACAAGATTGTATAATATGAATGTACAAGGAAAATTAAATGTATAAACACATTGTTAATAGAAAATTGTATAAGTTTGGCCAAAACTAAACATATGTGATTCATCACTATGTGCTATGTGCATAAAATACCTGAGGTATTAAGTAATATTTCTAAAAGCGTCATCAAAATCTTTCTTGAAATTTCTTATATAATGATATTTTACTATATGAGGATGAACAATTATAAGTTAAATGAAAACCTAAATTAAATCATAACAATCTTTCACTTAACTCATGTAAAAATTAAACTGATTTGAATGAAAACTTGAATTAACTTGTTACAATCTTTTCATGTTGAATTTTAACTCATGTTGAAGCTAATCTGAGTTGAATGAAGATCCAAATTAATTCTTAACAATCTAACCTTAATTAATATTGAGATTTTTGTAATCTATATAATTACTTCGCAAAAAATTCTTCAAAGAAATCTAACATAGTAATATGCAAAACCTAAAGCTAACTAAAACTAAGCTATAGTCGAAATATGATCAAATAAAATATATAGTGAAGTAACAAAATTGATGCAAAACTTGCAAAATAACATAATGTATTTTAAAACTATTTAAAGAAATAATTTTGATCAATGCATAACCAAAATTGTGTTCAGTGTTGATCTTGATTAGCTAAATTGTACTATCAAAATTGCATTTCTGAAAAAAAATAAGTGTGAAAGATCATTTTATTTTTTTTCAAAAAATGAACAAAAAAACGATATAGATTTTCATGAAATTTTTCAAGAAATATATATGTAAAGGAGCAACAATAAAATTCTACAATCATAACAAATACAATTGATTTTGTAATAATCATCACATTTGACTTTTATCATAAAGCAATTTAGTTTTTAATATTCAACAACTAGCCAAGCTAAATCTTTACTCTCAAATTATGATTTTAAACGGACTTGACATATTATGACTAGATTTTGATGTTTGAGTGATACATCTTTGTTTGAATAATTTTTCTAAACATTGAAAAATGATTATTAACAAGAAGTAAAATCATAACACATATGATTGTATATGTACGTGAAATTTAAAAAACTCAGCATGCCACTCTTAATAATTATTGATTTGTGTGTGAACATATTTTTAAATTTGACTTGTAAGTTTTCAGAATTATTTCCAAATATACATGTTTCTAAAGGCATGAGAGAACTTTGCAAACTTTTAAACTTTTATGCAATGAATAGTTAAATTTGTAAAATAATAAATGGCTAACAATTTTCTTGTGATGCAATATCTTAGTAATTATTGATTCAAAAGTAAAATTGCACTACGTATTTTTAGTATATCATGTTCAATATGTTATTTTTAGCATGTAGCCGAAGTGAGATAATTACTTGATGGGACACCATCTTACTAGCATCCATCAAGGTTTTTATTACCCAATGAAGCTCCACCGACGGCAAACATTACTCATTTTCTAATATCAACCGACATTATAGACAATTTTGACTCTTCCCACGCATGGCTCTAAATGATGCACCATCTCCTAAATATCTAAGTATCTGCATCAACAATCTGCTTCTGAATGCTACCCGTGTGCTTTCCAAAAAACTCACGATTCCTCGTCTCCACCTTCGTTTTCTTCTTCTTGCCTCGGACAGAAATTCAAATCAAGGTCATCCGCGAAACATCAAATGGAACAGCTTTCCAATCCGCCTCAACCTTTGGCAGATCTGAGATGAGGTGCAGAGGAAAGCCCTTCCTGCCCCAATTTCATAGTTGAATTGATTACAATGCTCTTCAAATTTGTGCATGATATTAATTCAGAAGAAAAAATGCATTGATTGGTAGGA